GGATAAAAACAAACACCACACAAGAACTCATCTACAGGCAAAGGGAAGCCAAGGACTGCTGACAGTCACTGGACATTAGAGTAGGGACAGGTTTGAACTTTTAGCCTCCAGAACCAAGAGAAAAGAAATAGATGGTATTCCAATTGACGTATTTCAGCTAACAGATGCTGCCCTGGATGTGCTCACCAAGTTGTGCCAAGAAATCTAGAGAACAAACACTTGGCCAGCTGACTGGAAGAGGTCTATATTTGATCCCATTCCAAATAAGGGCGACCCAACTGAGTGTGGAAACTACAGAACAATAGCATTGATTTCACACGCAAGCAAGATTCTACTGAAGATTATCCAAAAACAACTGGAACAGCACACCAGCAGAGAACTGCCAGAAGTCCAGGCTGGGTTTAGAAGGGGTCATGGTACTACGGATATTGTAGCCAATGTTAGATGGATCTTAGCTGAAAGCAGAGAATACCAGAAGAATGTCTATCTGTGCTTCATTGATTATGCAAAGGCATTTGACTGTGTGGATCATAACAAACTGTGGCTGACTCTGAGAAGAATGGGAATCCCAGAACATTTAATCATGGTAATGCGAAACCTATACTTGGACCAAGAGGCAGTCGTCAGAACAGAGCAGGGTAACACTGCATGGTTCAAAATTGGGAAGGGTGTGTGCCAGGGATGTGTCCTATCTCCATACCTTTTCAACCTGTATGCAGAGCAGATTATCCGAGAGGCTGGGCTCTATGAGGAGACGCATGGCGTTAGGATTGGTGGAAGATCTATCAACAAACTGTGTTATGCAGATGACACAACCTTGCTCGCTGAAACTGAGGAGAACCTCGTGCACTTACTGCAGAGGGTCAAGGACTGCAGCCTTCAGTATGGACTGAGGCTCAATGTCAAGAAGACAAAGATTCTCACCACTGGACCAATTGGTAGCATCAGGATGGATGGCGAAGAGATTGAGATTGTTCACAGCTTCAGTTTGCTCGACTCCACAGTCAACGCTCTTGGCACCAGCAGCCAGGAAATCAAAAAACGTATTGTGATGGGAAAGTCTGCTGTTAGGGACCTCTCTAAAGTACTGAAGACCAACAGTGTGTCTCTGGAGACTAAGGTGCATCTGGTACAGGCCATGGTCTTTGCAATCACTTGTTATGCGTCAGAGAGCTGGACAATGACCAGGGAGGATAAAAGGAGAATTGATGTTTTTTGAGCTTCGGTGTTCGAGAAGAGTGTTGAGGGTACCATGGACTGCTAAGAAAACAAACAGATTTATCCTGGAGAGGGTTAAACCAGGCTGCTCCTTGAAGGCAAGGAATAACAACATAGAAAATAGAATATAGTTATATCCCAGCTATCAGGAACCTCAAAAGAGTGACGGATTTTACACAAGGGAAGGAATAACAATATGGAAGCTACATTGAGGAAAACACAACTCATAGACCCCACTTGTTGACAAGAAACTAAGTGGGTTGCACTTGTGTGGATGTGACCATTACTACATATAGTGAATGTAGTTATCCCAGTTCAATGTTAATGTATCTAAGAAATGTTTTGCATGAAAATTGTACTCTTAAGTGCTCAATTTCACTGCTATATTATCAGGACAGACACTCTTTAACAGCTCCTCAGATCATCATCCCTTGACATGAGCCACCCTCTGATCATCTATAAGACTATCCTGCAAATCTGAAATTTAGAAGGCTCAAGCTTTACCTTTATCTTAATAGAAATATTTTATAGATATCTTTAAATATCTTGGACATTGATCCTAATAATTACCTGTGTAGTAATTATCACTCAAGAGTCTTTGTTAAATGAGTTAGTCTTAAATAATTGAAGCCCTTTCTAGAAAAATCTTATCAACCTAATGCATTTTCTTGGGCAACATAAAACATACCTGGATACTAATAAGGTGTACAATTTGACATGAAACACTGAAGCTGAAAGAAATTTTTTAAAACAAATAAATAGCCTGTGACCCTACATGCCTCCTCTTGGATAGAGACCACGCAGGTAGGACAATTACCAAGTGGCATTTTAGCCAAGGTTTCCAATGGATTCATGTGAAAAATAGTTAATGTGCATATGGATCCCAATACGGGTAGAATGTCCTGCTTTTATCTGGTGTGTCTTTCCATTAGAAATCCTCAGGGATTAAATAATTTCGTGTTTTGTATTCATCAACGATTATAATATAGACACTGGAGTCACAGATTTGAATTATTATGTAAACGTATATTTGGAATAAACATATCCACGTAAGAAGGGGAAAGCAAAATACTAACCACTAGGAACCACTTTCAGACTCTCTTACCAATCCAAAAATAGAATAAGTCAAAACGGAATGTAGTCTAACATATTTTATGTTTTCAAAGAGGAAGTCTTTTGACTATTGTGGAAAAGTGTTGGTGTAGAACATAGACTGTATCGTGGGCTGCCAGAAGAATGAACACACCCTTCTCAGAAGAAACACAACCAGCATGTGAGGATTGTTACTATTGAGTGCTGTCAGCTCAGAACTGATTTACAGCTGGGCCCGAGGTTGTAGATTACAGGGGGAACGATTGTTCATCTTTGTCCCACGGAGCAGATAGTAGATTTGAACCACCTGCCTTTGGGTTGGCAGTGCAACTCTCTACAAGTTTGGGGAGACGTCTTCTTGTTTCCTTCAGACCATTCATCAGGGAGGACCACTCATGAGAGACAGGTATCATGTTTGGTAGAACAGAGCCTCAAGGGAAATGAGAGTGAGTCTCAATGATGGATTGACCCAAAAGTCACAAGGAAGAACTCAAACATATAGATCCTGGAGACGGTACAGGAGCAACCAAGGTTCATTCAGTTGTACTTAAGATGGACATGGGTTTGAGTCAACAAACCAATAATACATTCTTCTCAGGAAAGTTAAGGATGTGGTTTCCTAGAAAACATTTACAGAGTCAAAATTAAAAGGAGGCCCTGCTGAATTGTATACTTAAAAATGGTTAGGCTGGCTAATTTTATGTCATTTGTGTCCTAACCACTATCTTTTAGAAAGGTGGAAAATGATAGATTTCATAACAACATTGCAGAAAAGATATTTGCAAGAAATACACCAAGTTTATTAAGGACTCCATTTGGAAAATGAAAACAGAAGAGGCATGCCAACACAATCCCTCCCTCCTTCCCCGGGCCCATGGCTGCATCAACGTGAGGCCGAGTATAGACCCTCCAAGTTGGAGAAGGCTCCAGAGACAGGTCAGTGGTGACATCACTTCCTCATGCACAGGAAGTGGTCTTCTAGGACAGCAGTGGAGCATCTTTGGAATGCTTACCAGAGGGGTAACTGCTTGTGCTAACAGTCTTTGTAAGAACTGACTGGGGTGCGTGTGTGTGTGTGTGTGTGTGCACGCGCGCACGTGTGCGTGTAGTCAAGGGACCACCCTTGAGCTGAATCCAAGCCTGGGGTTCAGCCTCTATTCCTTCCATGATCTCCTCACCAACCTGTGTCAGGCTCATTGCTTGGTTTTAGATTTTTGCATTTTCTTTTATGTCTGGGCACCATAGAGCTGTTTTTCCTCTTCTATCTTAGATACTGTTGCTTTCTTTCAGGGACATTCAAAACACAAGCAAATATTTAATACCCAAGGAAGAAGAAGAAAACAAACAGTGAAGTCCAAAACAATTACCATAGAGTTGACCCCAGCTCCCAACAACCCTACGTAGACTAAGAAGTACAGTGTTTCACATAGTTACGAGGCCCAGGTGTGTGGAGGAGATTGGTGTGAAGCACCAACCTTCCAGTTAACAGCCAAACATTTACACTACGGCATCGTTCAAGGACTCCTAAAAAGGAGATAAATTACCCAAAATAGTAACATCTTTTTCTCAGTGAATTTAAGAACCTGGTTTCCTGGAACACATTTACAGAGCAGCAATAAAAGGGAAGACAGAACTATATTGGTCAAAATGATAAATGAAATAAAAATAATCAAAATGGCAAATGTTAAACTCTTCTTGTTTTGCCACATTTTTTTAAAAAAGTAGAAAGTTATAGAGAACCGAAAGTCCTCAGAAAATTCTGATCCTTTAAAAATACTGAGTGAGATCAACTCTGTTCAAACTTTAAAAATTATCACTGGACACAATGTGATTAAACCTTTCAAGCAGATTAAGTTTCTTATGGGACTTCTGGTTTGTAAGAGTGGTGCAAATGGTTAATGAACTTGGCTACTAATCAAAAGGTCAAAGGCTCGAGTCTCTCCAGCATACAGCAGAAGAAAGGCCTGGTGATTGACTTCCAGACCATCAACCACTACACATCCTACGAGGCCAGTTCTCCATGTCACCGACACGCATGGGCAGCCATGAGTGGGAGTGAGCCAGGAGTGGCAACTGGGTTCTGCTAATTATTTTTTGAGAAAACCATCTATGTTCTTTTCCTAGAACTCAGACACTCTAGGATGTAATTCTCAAGTGTAGGGGTGTTTTCCTTCCTTTGTACAAGAATACGCCCAGGGGTCTCTGGGACGGTGGAGCAAGGCCTTTGTCGTGAATAGACGTGCTGTTCTTTCTACTCTCATTGGGATAGAGAATCCCCTCTCTGAGTCCCACTGAGGTGTAAATAAAAAACAAAAAAGCTTCTCCACACGGTCGTGATGGGAACAGAATTGATTGATGCTAAAGCCAATGACCATAATAAATGCCTCAGGAATGCGAAATTCCCTACCTTCATTTCACTATTTACATGTTGTGGAATTATCTGGAGTAATCTAGTAAAATTCTTCTGGGTCCTAACATGCTAACAAACGATAGGTGGTGTTAGTACTGAGCATTTCTATCAGGCTGGCACCTTTGGAGTTGTAGCTGTGTGGTGTTTGTCAGTGATGTGTTCTCATTAGTATCGTGAAAGTACGCGATGTTCACACAGTGATCAAAATTCAGAGCCACGGGGAACTTGTGGACCTGATTCGTGTCCTTCTCTTAGCTCCACCTCCATCCTAAGTGGCTGTTCAGTGAAGAGGTTTCAGGGCCTCCTGCGGGTGCCTGTCTCGCCCAGCTATCATGCCTTTGAGGCAGGCGCAGGTGACAAGGTGGTGCTGCTGCGAGTGGATCAGCCTCTCGAGACACTTGATGATCTCGTAGTCAGGAAGCGCGAGACTGGTCACCTTCAAGCCCAGCATCTGGGAAACCACTTCCTTGAAGTCCGTCAGCTGCAAAATCAAACACAATCACATTACCTAGAGGATGAAATGTACCATGACAGCTGAGCCAAGTGCTACAACAAAAACAAACACAACCATGGGAACGCAGATCTGCACAAGGTAAACAAAGCTTTTGCCAGGAAATCAATTTGACCTGTGGCAACCCCATGTCTGTCAAAGTAAAACTGTTCTCCATGGGCTTTGACTAAGGACTGTCCTCTTTTATGAAGTAGATCACCAGGACTTTATTCTGTGTCACCTCTGGGTGGAGTCGAACCATCAACCTTTTGTTTAGTAGCCAAGGTTAAGACTTTTTGCACCACCATGGATTCATGTAGGCAAATTGCTTATCTCACTATAGTGATAGGCCACTCACATCTATCCTGCTAACTTCTTTCTGAAATCTCCTCAAGTTTCAATCTTCTGGGAGTTCCTAACCACTCCTCTGATTAGCCAGCTAATGTGGTGTTGGCTACCGAGTCAAGAATCGAGGGTAAGAAATGGAAGAGACTCTGACCGTGCTATGATTCCATTTCCTCACCCGGGGTTGGAGTAACCAACTCAGGTTAGATGGAGTGAAGACTGTGCTGTAACTCCACACAGGAAGACTTGTTATGCAACAGTTGGCCTTGTCAGAAGATAATGTGTACTACATGGTGGAATTCCAAGTGGGCAGTGAACCTCCAAGTAATGAGAACAAACGGCCAGAGAGACACAGAGGATGAAAACAAGAGAACTTCTAAAACCTCACCCTACTCCCACAGATTTCCATTCACAACCCAAACCACTATATTAATCTCAGACTGGAGGCTTTTGAAAGATAGGCTGTCTCCTCCTGTTCGATTTATTGCCTGTGAAAACCAACTGGAGGGTCAACTATATGAGTTGATTCTGACTCGATGATACACAACAACGGCATGGTGCCTTAATAGGCTAAGTGTTGGGCTACTGGCTGAAGGTTGGCAGTTCAAATCCACCAGCTGTTCCACTGAAGAAAAATGAGGCAGCCCCTTCCAATTACAGAGATTTGTACACCAGTGTTCATAGCAGTATTATTCACAATATCAAGAACATGGAGACAGCCTAAAATGTCCATCAACAAATGACTGGATTGAGAAATTATGGTACATTCACATGATGGAATACAATGCAGCACTCAGGAGTAATGTTCTTTTTTAAAATACTGTGCAACATGGGAGAGGCTAGAAAGCATTAGGCTGAGTGAAGGAACTTGGGCACATAGAGCAAGCCGTGTCTAAGAGCATCATTGTAAAAACAGAAGGATAATCAGTAAGATGGGTATAGTGATCCAAGGAGGAAAGAGGACTGGGCAGGGGGCAGAGGGTGGTGAGGGGGGTGGAAAACTGCAGAGTCACACAGTTTGGTGGGTGAAGGGAGGGGACAGAAAAAAATACCATGTACATGAGTGAAACACAATATAAACAAATCATTGTATGTGAACCAATTAAAAAAAAAATGATGTGATGATGAAATCCATGGGGACGGAGTGTCATCATGAGTCAGAATCTACTTCACAGCAGTGTGTTTGGCTTTTGTTTTGTTTTGTTTTGTTTTAATAATGCTGAAGTGGTTTTAGGGGAGCTTCCAGACTAAGGTAGGAGAAGCAAATGCCTGGTGATCAACTTCTGAAAAATCAGCAGTTGAAACTGTTATGGATCCCAACAGGGTGCCAGAGGCCAATGGGACAACAGCCCATCAGTGTTAGTTCTCTCATTTCTACTCTACTAACTTATCTCTGAAATCTCCTCAGGTTCCAGTCCTCAGTGACTTCATAACCACTTCTCTGATTATCCAACTAACATGGTGTTAGTTACCAAGTCAAGAACTGAGGTTAAGAAACTGGATAAGACCCTGAGCTCCCTATGACTCCGTGTCCTAACCCAGGGTAAGGATTTGTCCATTAAAAGCAGAAATCTCTTGCTGTACAATGGGTTTTTTTAGTTCCTTGTTTTTCAGTGCTGTGTAGTATTCCATTGTATGAATATATCATATAGTTTTTCTATTTATGCATTTGTTGATGGGCACTTGGGTTGCTTCTATCTCTTTGCTATTGTAAATAATGCAGCAGCAAACATGGCTGTGCACATATCTGTTTTGATGGTGGTTTAGGTTTCTTTAGGATATATCCCCAGTAGTATCATTGCTAGTGTACCTATTTCTAACTTTTTGAGAAAGCGCCAAACCATCTTCCATAATGGTGGCACCAATTTACACTCCCACCAGTCGTGAATAATGGTTCCAATCTCTCCACAACCTCGCCAGCATTTATTGTTTGTTGCTCTGTTGAACTTTGCTGTTATTGCTGGGCTGAGATGATATCTCAGAATCAATGTTTTTATTTGCATCTCTCTGATAGCTAGAGATTTTGAGCATTTCTTCATGTGTTTGTCTGACATCTGAATGTCTTCTTTGGTGAAGAGTCTTCTCATATCCTGGGACCATTTTGCTATTTGGCTGTTTACCTTTTTCTTGTTGAGGTACACGTCATTCTGCTGAGTGAACTATCTCAGTCACAAAAGGACAAATACTACATAGGACCACTGTTGTAAAGCTGGTCTGACATGAGGGTTTTGGAGAAGAATAGGATAAGAGTGGATAGATAATGAACACTGCATTAGAATAGGGAAAGGAAAGAAATGTTACAAGGAATATATAATTAGACATTATATATATACAACACTAGCCCAGAATAAGAGGTACATTGCAAAGAGGACTGGGAGTGGGGAGGGAGGTAATTGTGAAATAATGAATGAATATTTTTCCTAAAAAAAAAAATGAGGGGGGAGGGGGGAGGGGTTTGTGCGGGGAGAAGGGTGCAACAATGAATGAATGGAATTCCAAAATCTCTGTAGACGTTCATTGAAATGAAAAATAAACAAACTAAATTTAAAAAAAAAAATGAACCGGGAGATGGGGAAGGGTGGGAGGGAGGAGAGTAAACAATGCAACAATGAATGAGTGAAAATCTAACTTTTCTGTATTACTTTCATTAAAATCACAATTAAAAATTAAAATTATAAAATTAAAATTTTATTTAAAAAAAAAACAGAAGCTGAAATCTCAGGACTGAAGAAACATGCCTGAAACCCCTTTGAATTCCCATTAGCTGGTTTCTGTGGTTTAATTCTAAGATAAAGCTGAAATAGATAAAGCAGCATTGGCTGACAACACCCTGATGCCTTCCGTTTTAGAAAAGGGGACACAATCTGAAGACATCCAGGAGCGCGCCCCCCAGACTGATGAAAACGTTTCCCTCATACCTTGCTCGCCCTTGACTGGGCCAGAGCTCCCCAGGCACCGCTGGGGGCTTTCTTTCCCAGCTCACTCACTCTTACACTCTGCCTTTGCCCAGCTGGGCCTGACACATGAGTCAAAGCAGAGGCAGCCAAGGAGAAAAACAATCCCAGGATCAGAGTCCACTCGTTGCCCTTTGAGCTGCAGAAGAGAGATGAAAGCCAAAAAAAAAAGCCGGCTAGGGTCAGGCTGCCCAGAAGGATCTTTATGCGCTTGACCCCGGAATGTCCTCCCCAGATGGAGCGCCCCAACCTGAGGCCAGCCAGCCCACCTCTGCTGCTTTATAACTCAAGTCTGAACCGGGTTGACCAGCAAGCCTGTGGCCACTGCTGAAGATTTACAGCTATTTCCTTCCACAGATTGCACCTTGAGATAAAGCTCCAGTCCTGATCCCGAAGCTCTGGTTAACATTAGAAAAATTGGGATGAGAACTGAGATGCTTCAGAGACAACCCTGGGCATCATAAAAAAGCCTCGCCCCAGACAGACAGACAAGCTCTCTACTCCCCCAACACAAGCTTCTTTATTTCCAGGCAACTCAAGGCACAAAATGAGAATTCTGTTTCTCTGCGGAGTAAATTCAAAGTTACTGGCAATCTTAAAAAAAAAAAAAAATACTGGTTGTTAGAGAGCTCTGGTGGCCTAGTGGCAAGAATGTGTACTGCAATCACAGAAGCCCTCGGTTCAAATCCACCAGATGCTCTGCTGGAGAAGGAGAAACAATCTCCTCCTGTACCAGTCAGATCTGATTTGATGATACACACACACAAATAATAATAAAAAAAAAATACTGGTTGTTGTTGTTGTTGTTGTGCACTGTAGAGTCACCTGCGACCCATAGTGACTCTATGTACAACAGCTCTGAAGGCTACCCTTTTCTGAGCCAGTCACACTGACCCAACACACCAACCCCCACTGACTCAGTTACTCTATCAACCCACCTCATCTGGGGTCTTCTTCTCTTGTCCTGTCCCTCCACCCTTCCAAGCATAATGTTCTTCTCCAAGGACCAGTCCTTCCTGGCCACATGCCCAAAGTATGTGAAATGGGAACTTCAAAATCCTAGCCTCAAAAGAGAAACTTGGTTTCAGCCTCTCCAAGACAGACCTATTTGTTTTCTTGGGGGTCCATAGTATGTTCTAAACTTTTCTCCAGCACCACAACTCAAAGGCATGGATTCTTCCGTCATCCTTAGTCAATGTCCAGCTCTCTGATGCAGAGGAAGTAATTGCTAAAAAGATACTAAATGACATGGAAATCTACTGACATCAAACCCCTCAAAAGACAAATGCTGCATAATGCCACTGTTGTAAAATGGGACTGACATCAGGGTTGGGGTAAGACTGAGAAAAACTGGATAGATTATGTAACCTGCATTGAAACAGATGAGGGAGAGAACAGTTTAAAATCGATATAGATAGGGTATTGTGGTTACCACAGGAATCCAGAATTAAGATTGCATAGTGGAGTGCATTTGGGGCGGGGGGGATTGTATACTCATGAGGGAGTTTATCTTTTGCTTTTCGAAGAGAAGAGCAAACTGGGGTTGGGGGATAGAGAAAAAAGTGCAACAATGAATGAATGGAAATCCAAAATCTCTGTAAATGTTCATTAAAATTAATAAAATAAAATTTTTTTTAAAAAAGAGAGAGACTGAAAACTGTTCTTGAAGCACCCTGAGTTCAAATATCCCACTTTTAAAGTGTCCTGCCATTTCTGAAACAAGGTGGCTTCTCCGCCTGATTTCTGCTCACCTGCTTTTCTCTCTTTTCCGCCTCTTCCAGAGATTTCCTTAGCGTCTTCACCTCACTGGCGACCACGTCCATCATGCTCCGGGCCCTCTCCTTGTGCTCCTTCGCCTCATGCTCGCTGCTGTCAAGCTCTGCCCTCACTGATAGGAGCTGCTTCTCCGCTTTCTCCTTCAGCTTCTCCAGTTTGTCCCTGGACTTGCCAAGGTCTTCAATGGTTTTGGTCTGCTCCAAAGTTTTAATCTAAAGAAGTCCAAAAAAATGTAAATGATGTCTTAGGTATTTGTTAGAGGGGAAACTAGGAAAATAGATAAATCGGCAGTTGGGGGAATCCACTTAACTTTTTTTGTGAAAATGAATTTTAGTTCTTAGTTCACAGTGTAGAAGGGTGTGGGCGAAGAAGAGTTCAGGAAACACTGAGTAGGAGAGATTATCTCTTAAGAATGACTAGAATTTTGGCAAAAAATACAGGTGATGGTTCTACATGATAAATGTAATCAGTGTCACTGAACTGTACAGGTAGAAAATGTTGAATTGGCCGATGTTGGTTGTGATGTTAAAGTTACGTGTCAGTCTGGTAAGGCCATGATTCTCAGTGGCTCTGCAGATGTTATATAATCTCCTCCCATTCTGTGATCTGCGGTGAGCAGCCAATGAATTGGAAGGTGAGTTTTCTCAGGGTATATCCCAAAGACAACATACACAAATGAACGACTGACAAAACCTACCCTCTGTCAGCCCTGGTATCTGTGTCACCCTCTAACCTATGATTCTTGGGTCTTGAGCCAGCATCCTGGGGTCTGACCTGCAGATATTGGGATTTGCTAATTCTCACAACCCCATGAGAGCAGCCTTCTATCTGACTTGCTGATTTCAGGTTCTTCACTCCCTGCAACCACGTAAGTCAGTAGAAGCCTCCAGCCTGAAATCTGACCCAAAGATTTGGGACTTGGCCATCTCCACTGCTGCCTAAACCATTACTTACACACACACTTAACTAGTTTTCCTCCACAAAAGAATTCAGTCTAAGACATTGTGTTATATATATATATCTATTTTTACTGCAATTAAAAAAACTAAAAAAATATAAATACATCACAAATGTTCAGAGCAGTGTAAAACCTAATCATCAATAACTAAAAATAATGCAATGCTCATCATTTAATTAATGAATAATCAAAATGTGGTCTACCCCTAAAATACCATAAAAAGAAATGAAACAGTAATTGCTGTTACCACATGGATGAATACTGGAAATTTTGCAGACAAAATACATTGTATAACTCCATTTTTATAAAAAAAAAAAACGTAGAAAAGGCAAATCCACAGTAAATTCATAAGCAGTTATCAGGGGCTGAGGACACAGGAGTGGGCAGAAACTACCAATGGCTGTGGTTCCTGCTTCTACTGAGAGAAATGTGCAGCAATTAGACAGTGATGATGGTTGCACCACCGTGACACTGCACTAAAAACACACACAATTGTCCTCTTTAAAAGGGTGAATTTTATGGAATGTGAATTATAGATCTACAAAGCTGTTATTTGAAGGAAGGTGCATTAAAAAGAAGCCTTAAATAGCATCAAAATGAGCTCCTTTGGAGTACTTTCTCTATGTATATAAATAAGTAAATAGGCATGGAGTAGACAAGAGCACAGACCAGGAGAACTCTGTATCCAACATTGAACTTAACCATTCACAGCCCATAGGAACACACTTAAAGAGGAAGTCTACTCTTCTGTTCTAATTTTGTTGACAAGCATTTTGAAACTGGAAGAAAGCTAAATAAAAGAGAGCAAGCAATGAGTATTTTGGTCTTCTCCCTTCCCCGTCACTCCCTCTCTCCAGCCTAGCTGTGTCCACTCCCATGAGATTATTCTAGAAAAGAATCTAGGTTGCAAGGGAAGCTTGTCAGGGCTGAAGAAAACCAGAGAGGCTAAAGTTATCTACATGATCAGGAGATGAGGATGATGTGGGAGGAAAGATAAAAGGCTCTCTTAGCTTGCTGGCCAGCAGGGACTGTGTTTTGGAAAACCTTGGAATGGTGAAGAGGGGAAGAGGGGAGGCACCACTGCCTTGTAAGCAATGTGATGAGAGAAAAAGAAAAAGAAAAGAAAAAAAAAAAAGCACCTTTAAGAAATCTTGCCGGTCTAACTAATGAAATTCACCTTTGTTTTAGTGTTTTGTCTTGGTTTTGTTTTTAAATAAAATTAACAAATAGCTTATAGGTTTTGCACTGGCAATAATTTATTAAAGAGTGTGTTTTACGAGCTACATTTCGAGGAACTGCTGGAGATTAAAATCTTCAGTTTAAAGTGCACCTACCTTCTCTGGAAGATCTAAGTGCCAAAATTATAGCACAGGAGCACAAGTTGACCTGCTTTAATCTCTGAAGGTTCTTACAATACCGCTAGACAGCCAGAGGAATTGTAGGAGCTATTCTAAGACTGGAATCACAGCAAGATATGAAAAAGAAGTGTATGTGAGCTCTTTGGAAAGTTAGATGAAAAAGTGGACTTATATTGCGGGACCTCAGAAAAATTAAAGGATACAAAGTTAAATACCTGATGAAGTCAGAAACTAGAAATGAAACTGTTTTGTCTGGAGGTTTTTAAAAATATTTATATATATAAATGTTTTACTTACAATGTTTTTATATATTGTTTAATACATCAGATCTTTCCCATTTCCTTATCCAATCCCTCTCTCCACCCATCAAATTGTTTGACCCTTTGATTAGCCCCCATGTCCATCCTCACCCTTCAGCTACCCATCCCTCAGATCCTCATACACATTTTACTAGTTATCTTTTTATTTCTACAATAATGGTCTTATACCGTATTTGTCCTTATGCGACTGAGTTAATTCACTCAACATAATGCTCTCCAGTTCTTCCCATGTTAGGTAGTGATTTACAAAATCATTGCTCCTGCATACTACATACTATTCCATCATGTGAATGTACCATAACTTCTCAATCCATTCGATTGTAACTGGATATTTAGGCTGTTTCCATGTTCTTGCAATGGTGAATAATGCTGCTATGAACATTGGTGTAAAAATCTCTGTTTGTTCCTCAGTTCTCATTTTCTCAGGGTATATGCCAAGCAGGGGAATAGCTAGGTCATATGGAATTTCTATGTTCACCTTTCTGAGAAAACACCAAACTGCTTCCCAGGGTGACTGTACCATTTTACAATCCCACCAACAGTGTATAAGAGTTCCTATATCTCCACAACCTCTCCAGCATTTATTACTTGTTGTCCTATTAAACATTGCCACTGCTACTGGAGTGAGATGGTATCTCATTGTGGTTCTGATTTGCATCTCTGTTATTACCAGTGATTTTGAGCATCTCTTCATGTGTCTGTTGATCATTCAAAGATCGTCCTCTGTGAAACATTTTTCCGTGTATTTTGCCCATTTTGTAATTGTATGATCAGGTTTTTTGTTTGGTTTTTTGTTTTGTTTTGTTTTGTTTTGTTTTGTTTTTGTGGAGGCCCTGTGGGATTCTGAAATGGTATTGCCAAATGTTTGTTTCCAGAGAGTAGGTTTTCTTTTCACTCTGCTGGGAAAAGCTTTTGATGTGCACCGGGATTTAATCTTTAGAAGGTCCTATTCATTAATGTTATCCTCTCCAGATTGTGCACTTCTGGCTGTATTTGGCAGTCTCTTTATACTATAGGCTAGGTCATCTAAGCTTGATCACAGTTTGTCTCTGATGAACTTTATGGTTTGAAGCTTTACTCCCAGGCCTCTGATGCACCTTGAGTTCATTTTTGTGTGTAATGTAAGATGTGGATCCTGTTTCACCTTTCTGCAGGTAGCAGTCCAGTTTTGCGAGCACCAGCACCATTTGTTGAAGAGGTTGTCATTTCCCCACTTGATCGGTTTTATTTCCTTGTTGAATATCAGTTGACCTTAGTTAGCTGGGTAGAAACTCATTTTTAACCACTATCACCTGGTTTTAATTGGTTTTGGTCAAACATTTTCCTAAGTGGTATAGCACTGGTATATCCATTTGCTGTACCGAGTTAACTCGTAGTTGCTGTGATGCTAAACACTGTGACACTGATGTGTCAAATGTGATAATCGTTACCTATGGTGGACAGTGTTTCGTGGAGCTCTCCAATTAAAACAAGCTTGGAAGCAGGAGTGGCATATCCGCTTCTGAAATAGCTTGCTTCCAGAAACTTTATGAACTTGGAGAAACAATGAAACTTATACAGGTGTTCAGGTCTTTTGTTCATAGGGTCACTATGAGTCTTCTATGACTTGATGACACTTAACAACAGCAATCACACAACAAGTACAGTTGTGTCATCTGCATAACGCAGGTTATTGATGAGTCTCCCTCCAATCCTGATGCCACATTTCTTTTCATAAAGTCCAGCTTCTCAGATAATTTGCTCAGCATACAGGTTGAACAGGTATGGAGATAGAATACATCCCTGATGCACTCTCTTCCCAATTTCAAATCATGCAGTGCTCCTCTGCTCTGTTTGCACAACAGCCCCCTGATTCAGGTATAAGTTCCTCATGAACACAATCAAGTGCTCTGGGATTCCCATTCTTCTCAGCGTCAGCCACACCTTGTCATGATTCACACGGTCAAATGACTTTGCATAGTCAATAAAGCATAAATAGACATTCTTCTGGAATTCCTTACTTTCAGCCAAGATCCATCTGACATCAGCAATGATATCCGTGGTACCCCAGGCTCTTCTAAATCCCACTTGAACTTCTGGAAATTCCCTATCTATGTACTGTTCCAGCCGTTTTTGAATGATCTTCAGTAGTATTTTGCTTATTTGTGATAGTAATGATATTGTTCAATCATTTACACATTCAGTTGATCACCCTTCTTGTGAACAGGAACAAATACAGACCTCTTCCAATCCATTGGCCAGAAAGTTGTCCTCCAATATTCCTGGCATAGGCTGGTGAGTGCATCCAGGGCTGCATCTGTTGTTATTTGAAGCAAGTCAATTGGTTTCCCATCGATTCCCGGGGCCTTATTTTTGGCCAATGCCTTCAATGCAGCTTCCACTTGCTCTTTCATTATGATTGGCTCTTGTTTGTACGGTACTTCCTGAAATAAAGTGAAGTGAGGAGGATTTGAAGCACTTGTTGCAGAAAATCAAGGAATGTAGGCTTCAGTATGGATTGTGTCTCAATATCAGGAAAACAAAGATTCTTACCATTGGACCGATAGACAGTGTCATGATGGAGAGGAGATTGAAAA